TGTTTATTTATTTACTTACCCATTTGATTTTGTGGTGAAATATGAACTGAACATGCTTTTATAATATATATAAAATTAATATATATTACTATTACTTTTACTACATATATATATACAGGTGCATCTCAATAAATTAGAATGCCGTGGAAAAGTTCATTTATTTCAGTACAATTCAATTCAAATTGTGAAACTCGTGTATTAAATAAATTCAGTGCACACAGACTGAAGTAGTTTAAGTCTTTGGTTCTTTTAATTGTGATGATTTTGGCTCACATTTAACAAAGACCCACCAATTCACTATCTCAGCAAATTAGAATACATCATAAGACCAATAAAAAACATTTTTAGTGAATTGTTGGCCTTCTAGAAAGTATGTTAATTTACTGTACATGTACTCAATACTTCTGTATATATATATATATATATATATATATATATATATACTGTATATATAATAAAATAAAAATTTTCAGCCTTTATTTATTTATTTGTTTGTTTATTTTTAGAGTAAAAAAATTTAATGCAAGAAGTTTGGTTGTTATTTTTTTCCCATTTGATTTTGGGGTAAAATATGTCATGAGCATGTTCTCAATAACATCAAAGTATTATCTAAAACAGCATTTTTATTTATTTATTTATGAGTAAAAAATTTTCAATACAAGAAGTAAAACACAATAAATTGGTAGTTTGTTTATTCATTCATTCCCATTTGATTTTGGGGTGAAATATGACCTCAACATGTTCTTGGCAGGTTTGAAATATCCACTCATTTTGAACAAACTAAAGCAGCTCTCTTATTTTACCTTCAGTTTTTCTCTTCCTCTCTGCGCTGTGGCTGCTCCCCTGCTTAGCATTATGGGAAGGGCACGTTCGCTGTATTCACCTCTCACGCTTAACAGGTTTACTTGCAATTGACAGCCGCTTTAGTTTTGAGACTGGTAATCCTGTTCAGAAGCCGGTCATGCTCCTCCGGCGGAGGGTTACGGCACAGAAAGAGCTCGGGAAAACAGTTTCTGATGAAAAAGGTCACTTCAGTAAATCAAGCCTCAAATGCAGGACGGATGATTTGAGGATGAGTGATAAAGCCTGTCAGGACTGGATCTGGCCTGGAATGAAGGTCAAGCAGAGTCTTGCTGTGGTTTTGTGTTTAAGTGAAGGTGAGACGAGAGAGACGGGATCAAGTGTTCATCTCGTAAAGTAAGTCGCTCATATGAAGTAGTGTCACGCTCTGCATCATTTTCACACGTAGAGGCAGAAGAATACACTTGTCAGTCCTCGTCTGAGCAGCACGACACAGACAGCTTCAGCTGCTGGCGTCTGTTTTACTGAGACACCGAACATTGCGAAATGTTTTCCGATATGTAAACTGGATGAGACTGAAGGTCAGCTCAGGGTTTGAGATGAAGGAAGCAGGGGCATAGATCACGCGGGGGACGTGACAGCCGCCTTATTCACCTGTAACCAAAAGAGGAGGATGAGGCGAAAAGAATAACTCTCGGCCCTCATCCTCACTCCAGTGTCGGCTCCAGCCCCCGAATCCAGCCCATGGAGGGCTCCTGTCCCCGAGTTTAGCCCGGAGAGGGCTCCAGTACCCGAGTTTAGCCCGGAGAGGGCTCCAGTACCCGAGTTTAGCTCGGAGAGGGCTCCTGTCCCCGAGTTTAGCCCGGAGAGGGCGCCAGTCCCCGAGTTTAGCCCGGAGAGGACGCCAGTCCCCGAGTTTAGCCCGGAGAGGAGAGTCTTGCTGTGGTTTTGTGTTTAAGTGAAGGTGAGACGAGAGAGACGGGATCAAGTGTTCATCTCGTAAAGTAAGTCGCTCATATGAAGTAGTGTCACGCTCTGCATCATTTTCACACGTAGAGGCAGAAGAATACACGTGTCAGTCCTCGTCTGAGCAGCACGACACAGACAGCTTCAGCTGCTGGCGTCTGTTTTACTGAGACACCGAACATTGCGAAATGTTTTCCGATATGTAAACTGGATGAGACTGAAGGTCAGCTCAGGGTTTGAGATGAAGGAAGCAGGGGCGTAGATCACGCGGGGGACGTGACAGCCGCCTTATTCACCTGTAACCAAAAGAGGAGGATGAGGCGAAAAGAATAACTCTCGGCCCTCATCCTCACTCCAGTGTCGGCTCCTGTCCCCGAGTTTAGCCCGGAGAGGACGCCAGTCCCCGAGTTTAGCCCGGAGAGGGCTCCAGTCCCCGAGTTTAGCCCGGAGAGGGCTCCAGTCCCCGAGTTTAGCCCGGAGAGGACGCCAGTCCCCGAGTTTAGCCCGGAGAGGGCTCCAGTCCCCGAGTCTAGTCCGGAGAGGACGCCAGTCCCCGAGTTTAGCCCGGAGAGGATGCCAGTCCCCGAGTTTAGCCCGGAGAGGGCTCCAGTCCCCGAGTTAGGCCTACGGAGGGCCTCTGAAACTGACATTCTCCCCAAGGATTTTTTTTGGGGGGGTAGTAGGGGTCCGTCCGTGGAGGCCGGGCCGAGTGCTGAGGCCAGGCTACCTGAGCTCCCTGTTCCACCATGGCGCCCTGAACTGTCTGCTCCGCCATGGGTCCCGGAACGAGTACCGCTCTGGAGGCCCCTCAGGACAGACACGGGATGGCAGGCCCTCCCCGTTGGATGTTGTGGGGCGCGTGGATGCGCTTTCCTGGAGGGGGGAGTAATGTCAGTCCTGTGTCTTGTGTTTTCCTCCCCCACATGCTCCATGTTATGTTTATGCCCTTATTTGGTCTTCCTGTTCCTGCCCTGATTGTGTTCATTTGTTTCCAGCTGTGTTTTCCCTCATGTCATCATGTTCATTGTTTCCAGGTGTTCCCTCATTAGTTTCCATCATTTAAGCCCTCTGTGTTTCCATGTCTAGCGTGCTGTCTTAAACGTCGATCCCCGTTCCCACGTGTGTGTGTTCCTTGTTCCCTTTGGATTAATAAAGACTGTTATAGTAATTCTCCTGCGTTCTCCTCGTTCCTCGTTCCTCGCTCCTCACCGTTGGCACACCATGACACATATTATATTTGTATCTTATATAAATATGAAGTTGTGTATCTTTATATTTAATAGAATTTTAGTTTACTCACTTTATTTAATTAATTATGTATTTATTTATTCATATCTTTTTTTATTAATATAATGATATGTATCTGTCAGACAATTTAATTATTTTCTCTCGTTTTCTCTTATTTGTTGTAAATGTTGATTTATTTCTTTATTTATCTATCTATTTTGAATTATATTATTTGATATCTTATTTTCATATAAAGATTTGTATCTTTCAGACATCAGAATTATAGTTTTTCTCGTTTTCTCTTAGTTTTGTTGTAAATTCTCTTTATTGATGATCCAAAGAGCATCTCGAGCTTCAATAGAAGAAAATCTGTCGGTCACATGATCAATGACACTCATTTACATACTCTTGATTAGTCACAGAAAGGGTGCACTGAAATATTAGTGCACAAAATCCTAAAACTTTCAGGTTTAATTAGGATTATATAATGATCGGATGAATAGAAATAACAAAAGAGCAGAAATGAGAGGGAGCATTCATTGGCTCTGCAGATGTGTTTTCAGTCTCCATCTGAAACTGGATTAATCCTTTTACCATTCATGTGTAAATATGTTGGACCATTATGGTGTTTTTCTCATCCCTGTGTCTTTCAGGCTTAGTCTTTTAGACTCTCTCAGCATAAGAGCTTTCATTTGAATCTCTGCGCTCATCAGTCTGACAGCGCCGCTGCTCTAAAGCGAAACTGTAAAGTGTCAAAGTGAAGAATGGCAACTTCTAATTGCACTCAGACGTTTTAAATCACCTGATATCGACCCTGAGGATAACTGGCATTTGTTTGTCTCCCACTGCATTCGTCTGCCATCGGGATTCACAGTGAGATCCTCAGCCAGCGCTCCTGCTGAAAGTTCACCTTCAAATCATCCTTTGAAAACTTTTGTAAAAAGTTGTAACCTTTGTGCTGTGTTGAAAACCCTATGACTCCTATGGTGTTCCCTGTCAAAAATGACCGGCCCTTTAAAAGTTGCTTGTAAATCACTCGTTAAGCTATATTATCACCAAATGTTGAATTCGATATTTTTGTCAGCTTGTTTTCTTTCTGTTAGCACAGGTTTTGTGTTTCTTTTTGATGGTAGGCCGGTCATTTTTGACCCGGAAAACTGCAAGTTTGACTCTGTGCCATTTTGTACAAAATAAAAGCATTTCAAGATAAATTTCCTGGTTAACTTTTGTTTTGTTGAAACCACAACAAAAGATAAAACAAGAGAAAAATATAAATATATAAATAAATTTACAACAAAAATAAGAGAAAACGAGATCAAATAATGGTATTGTCTGTAAAATGCACATATTTATTTTATTATAAGAATAAATAATTAAATATGATTTTATTTTGTACAAAATGGCACAAAGTCACACTTGTGGTTTTTCTGGTCAACAATGCAAAAGCCTGCAAAAAAAAATCCTTTTGCTATATTATCACCAAATATTGGATTCAGTCTGTTTGTCCAATATTTGGTGATAATAATATAGCATAACAAAGCAGTTTCTAAGCTATTTTTGCAGGCTGGTAATGTTTGACCAAGAACAGTACAAGTGTAAAAAGGTGGGGGGGGAAATCCCTCAAAAAGTACAAACAAATATCTAAAAAATTTTGGGGAAGTTGATATTCCCAGTGTGATCAAAGTCAGAAAGTTTTAGTCCAGTTTGACAACATATCAATCTCCTCTCCAGGTCAAAATGACCGGAACACACCATAAAAAAATAAATAAAATATAATCAATCAAAATAGAACGCTTATATAAATTATAATAAAATATAAATTAATTCAATCATAAAATGATCAATTAAAATAAATATTTTTAAAATACAAACAAATCAAAATAAAACAATTACTAACAATCAGTTAAACCCTAAAAATATAAAATACAAATAAATTATAAAAAATAAAATAAAAAGTAATAACATTGCATCTTGCAACCAAAACCGTTTCTCACCTTTGACCCCAGGGAGGCCCTGAGAGAGACGCTGTCCAGTGATGAGCTGCACGAGAGAGACCAGTGGACGCTGTTCGGGAACGAGGCTGAGAAACTGGAGATCGGTGTGATCAGAAACCAGCGTGTCGTTCGTGAGCGTGTGGATCGATTGGCTCTGCGCCGGGAGGTGAGTGAGTGACTGAGTGACAGCAGAGAGCTTCATAGCACCTCTCAAGACACCGGAGTTCTTTCACTTTATAGTTTTAAAGGAATAATTTATCCCGAAATGACATTTCTGGATTCATTTACTCACCCTCATGCTGTTTCGAACCCCTACAACTATATTTTTCCTGACTATCCTGGTCAGTTTTTTTCAATAAAGTGAAAGTAAATGGGGACAGAACAAAAAACACCATAAAAGCATTATAAATTAGTTTATAATTATAAATTAATTCTGTTATAGAATTATATTATAAAGCTTTTATGACAGATTTTTGTGAAAAACAGACTTGTATGTAACAGGGATATTACAGTAAACTCAAATCATAAAAAATACGGTTTATAATTTTTTTCTAAACTTTACTTGAAATTAATAAATTAAATATAAAAAAAGATATTTCAGCTACTTGCATGGCAACATTTCTAATTTTAAATTAGTTTAATTTAATTTAACTAAAATAGCTACAAATACTGAAATAAAAAATAAGAATTATTCAAAACAAAATAGACTCATTTAAAAAAAAATACTAAAATGACAAAAAAAACATTAAAATTATTACAATTTTAACTAATTTAAATGAAAGTGGAAAATATAAAAATATAAACAAATTCAAAATATGAATAAAAACTATAATAGTATCTCAAGAATGCTAAAGTAATAAATGAGGATAGAACAAAAAACACCATAAAATCTATATAAATTAGTTCATATAACCTGTTATATTTTAAAGCTTTTTATGATACAATTTGTGTGAGATTTGTTTGAAAAACAGACTGAAATCAGACTAAAACTCAGAAATTGGTAGTATATTTCACAAATAATTACAAAGAAACTGCAAGTAACATTAAATTGAACGTGAAATTTTTGAAGTAGACTGAAATAGTATTTTGTACAAAACTTATAATATAGTTTTTTTATTACAATAAAAACTAAAAAAATACAAATTATTTTTTTACAGTGTAGTTGCCAGGGTAATATTTCTCGTTTTCATTTAGTTTAACTTCATGTACTAAAATAAATAAAGCTAAAACTTATTTAAAAAAAAATAATAGACAAAACTATATAGACATCATATATTTTTTCATATACATATCAATTTTTTCAGAGTGAGTAAATGATGACAGAACTGCTTGTTATTCTTCAGGCCGAGAGAAAAGCTTCTTTGCACATGAAGTTGATTGAGGATCTGAGCATGAAGGCTCCTGATTTCCCCGTCCCGCTGCGGCCGCACACGGTGTGGACCGGGATGGACGTCAAACTCTCCTGTTCGGTTCAGGGCTGCCCGCTTCCCAGCGTCACATGGTGAGAGTCTCAGCAAACCTGTATCTCCAAAACAAAAGAGCCTCAACCTCCAAAGACCGACGTGTGTGATAGCAGAGTGTGAATCTTGTCGACAGGTATAAGGATGACGTTCCTCTCCGAGGATCTCTGCCGTGGAACTACAAGCTGATGCAGAAGTGCGGCCTCGACGTTTTAGAGATCAGGAGGTGAAGCTAAAAACCTACAGGAGTCATTCCTTTATTCAGTTTACTTATGGCACCATTAATATTCTATTCTAGTTTGTATTTATATTTTTACATTTATTTAAGTTTTTTTATATTTTCCATTTTTATTTTAATAATTTTGTTGTTGTTTTTTTGTCATTTTTATTAGTTTTTTATTTTTTGTATGTGTATATACATTTCATTAATCTTTAATTCAGCTTTAGTTTACTTTAAGTTAAACTAAACGACTAGCTGAAATAAAATATAAATTTTTGTTTTTGTATTTTTGTTATTTTAGGTAGAAATTTCTGCCAGAATGATAATTATTTGTAAGCATTACTTTATTATTTTATTCATTTGTTTTATTTTATCTTTTATTTAATTTGTTTATTTATTTTGGTTATGTTGAAATCACAACAAAAATGAGAGAAAACGAGAGAAAACAACAATTATATTATCTAAAATGAGCATATTTAAGATATAAATATAATATATTACAATATAAATAAATAAACAAAAATCACAGAAACAAGAGGAAAATAACAGTTATACTGCCTGAAAGATTCATATCTTTATATTCATGTAATAAATAAATAAATATATTTTCACAAAATACTTTTCAAGTACAATACATATCAAGTAACGAACATATTTTTTAATGGTTTTATTTTTAGTTTTAATTAACAACAAAAAACAAAGCCCTGAGTGACACATTTAATTTCCTTCTTGAAACACAAGTTGAATGTTTGAGCTTCTGTGCTCCATGCAATTAATGTTCAATAAATGAATAATTAATTAATTGAAAAAAACTCAGAACAGATTGCAGATGCTTTTATTTTGTACCTCTTCAACAATAAAATATGTCTGCTGTCTAACTTCGTTTTCTTTCTTTCCTTTCTTTTCTTTTCAGATGTTCTGCTGAAGATGCCGGAGAATACAAGGTTATAGCGAAAAGTTCTCTGGGAGAGGCAACGTCCAGCGCCAGGCTGACAGTCAACTGTGAGTTCATGTTTATCATGCTATTTAGCTGATTCCTTGACTTGTTTTGAGTTTGAACCTTGTTCTTCCATTTGCAGCACATGAAGGGGCCGAGGCGAAACTGAAGCACTCGTGGACGCCCAGTGAGTGCCTTTGCTCTTCTTAATGCAAAATAAACAGCATTTTGGAGTATTTTATCTGGTTATGCAACCACCAAGAATACTCTAGCAACCACATAGCACCCACCCAGAACACTCTAGTAACAATATAGCAACCACCCGGAACATTCTAGTAACCATATAGCAAGGGCAGGGCCGTTTCTAGCCAATTTGACACCCTAGGCGAAATCCCTATCCCTACAGTATGTATATATTTATATATATACATATATGTATATTCTTTTCAGACGCCAGTTGCTTGTCACATTCAAATTGGTTGTCATAGTAACGACACTAATTTGTGGAGATTCAGCACATTGAGTTTCACAAATCTGAATGCATTATTTGTAAATTGACTGTTAAGATAAACATTTTGCACAAATTATCTGTAATATCGTTGTGTTGCCACTAGATGCTGTATAAGCCCTATGTAACAGTCTCTCGTAGCTAAGACATTGCACATAAATCACACATAAATTAATTTTATTACATTTGGATTTGGATGCATGTTTAGATATTATCAATGGCTACTTTTTTGTCTTTATCTGTTTTCTGTTAAAAAAAATGTTGTTGTTGTTTCTTGAAACATTGATTTAAAGTGTCAGTTATTGCATTATTATTTCAGTCAAACCCTTTGTTACCCCAAACTACATATAAAAGCTTGATCAGTGGCATAAAAGTAGCCAACGCAGCTACTTAATCCTTTGCTACTCGTTAAGGTGTGAACATCCCCTTTAAATAACGTGACGCTCTGCCCTCGATGACACTGCTCCCATTAAGCGCTGTTGGAAGTGAATAGCTCGCCTATGCCTAGAAACGGCCCTGACCCAGGGCACTCTAGCAACCAGACAGAACACTCTAGTAACTGCATAGCAACCAGATAATACATTCTAGCAACTGCATAGCAACCACAGAACACTTCAGCAACTGCATAGCAACCAGACAGAACATATTAGCAACTGCATAGCAACCTCCTGGAACACTCTAGCAACTGCATAGCAACCACAGAACACTTCAGCAACTGCATAGCAACCAGACAGAACATATTAGCAACTGCATAGCAACCTCCTGGAACACTCTAGCAACTGCATAGCAACCACAGAACACTTCAGCAACTGCATAGCAACCAGACAGAACATATTAGCAACTGCATAGCAACCTCCTGGAACACTCTAGCAACTGCATAGCAACCACTGAACATTCTAGTAACCATATAGCAACCACCCTGGAACACTTGCAACAGCATAGCAACCACTGTATGAATTACATATTGGTTTAGAATACATTTTAGAAATGTAGCTTTAATATATATATATATATATATATATATATATATATATATATATAATGTTTTCTATTTCAAAGAAACGCTGTTCTTTTGAACGGTCTATTTATCTGTGACTCCTGAAGAATAAAATCTATCACTGTTTCCACAAAAATATTCGGCTGCACAACATTGATAATAATCAGAAATGTTTCTTGAGCAGCAAATCAGCATATTAGAATGATTTCTGAAGATCATGTGACACTGAAGACTGGAGTAATGATGCTGAAAATTCAGCTTTGATCACAGAAATAAATTACATTTTAA